GGTCAAGCATGGAAAATGCTTATTTTAAAATTGTTTGCAAAATAAGTACTTTTCATCAAATTAAAAAAAAATTGTTTAATCACAATTTTAAAGGTGGAGCTAGAAGTTTGGGTATTGATTCGATCAAACTCAGTAACTTTTGCTCAAACAATGTATTTATATTTAAAATTTTATTAAATTTGTACAATTTACACATATTAATAAGTATAGAACCCAGTTATTAACACTTGAAATCATCGTTATAAAGTTCAAAAATCATAAGATTAAAAACTCTTACTTCAAGTTCAAAAATCATAAGATTAAAACTCTTACTTCGTTTTTAAAAGCACTTATGAATATCAATTAGTGTTTGGCCAAATTTTAAAAGTGTTTCTAAGTATGTTTCAAAAAAATAAAATGCTCTTAGCCAAAAGTTACTTTTTTTTTTTAGCTTCTGAAAGTTTGCTTGTGCTACTCCATAAAAGCACTTGTTTTTCCCAATTTTTTTTACCAAACACCACATTTATTAATTAAAAAAACACTTTTAATCTCTCGAATTTTTTTTATTATGTGTGAGGTACAACTAGTATTAGTTGTATGAGAGGTTATTTTATTGCTATTATATTCTTGTTTGTTTTCCTTCTTGACCTTTGTTTCTCCTTCTTACTTTTCACTTTCCTCTTTGTTCTCATTTTTTGTTTTCTCTAAATCTAATTTGAAACAAATTTAATTACTCCATTAGTTTGTATAGTGAAACATAATTTATTTTTTTACTTATTTATTTTAATAGAAAATATTTTTAAAAATTATTATTTTTCTTATTAAATAATTACATAATATGTTAATAATAGAATTTAAAATTTAAAAATATAATTAATAAAACTAGTTTAGTAAAATGAATTTCTAATACAAATACAATTGAATATATTACACATTAATATTTAAAAGTTATCGACATAGAAAGCATGGTTATATTTTATTTTTTTTGCAAAAAAATATTCAAAATAATGTTCATGTTAAAGTTAAATAACATTTCAAAAGTGAAAAGTAGGTTGAAAAAACACATTATACCAACATGTTTCCAAATTTAAAATATACCTTCCAAAAAGAAAATGTGGTGTTTCAAATTTACATGGTCAAAAATCAATTTTCAATTAAAGCGAAAATTATTTTATAAATAAATAAATTTTTATGTTTAAATGGGTCCTAAAAGTAGAAGTTAAAAAAACAATGAAATATGAAGGCAATTTTTTAAAAAATACAATAAATGAAAAATGGGAGAAAAGGAAACAAAGTAATTTTAGTGGTCAATTTTTATGGAATAAGTGACCATTCGAAGAATTAACTTGAATATTTTTATGCGCATAGTCTTTAATTATAGAATAATAAAAATTATAATTTGAAAAACATTTTCTATTAAAACAAATAATTATTATTTTCATCCAAACAACCTAAGGTAGTAATTAAATTGATTTCCGAATAGAACTTAAAAAAAATATCTAAAAAAAACGAAGAAAGAAAAACAAAAGGAAAATAGGACAATAAAACATGGATCCCATAAATAAGAATATAATAGCAATAAAATAACCCTTCATACAACTAGTACTAGTTGTACCTCATGCATAGTAAAATGAAGTAAGAGATCCCCTCCGGTTTCCCCAAATAATCTGACCAAATGTCCACTTTATTATTTAATGAAAATAATTTATTTTGTTTGTAAGCAATTATAATATAAATTGTTTGGTAGATAGATTAAAAAACAATGAAGTAAGAAATTCCGACAACTGTTTATATTAACATATAATAAATATACCCTGTCATTTTTCTTGATCTCTTCAAGCCTAGACTAGTTCAGTCCAAATTTATTATAATTGATATCTAAATTTATTTATTTTATATTGACGCAGAAGCTATAATATTGAGATTCATATGATGAAAAAAAAAAGATTCATATGAAGTTTAAACACCATAATTAGTAAGAATATAAATATAAATGTGACATATAATTTTTTTTTCAAGCTCGACAATGATATATAACATTTTATTATAATATTCATATTAATTATATATAATTTTGACTTTTAAAAAATAATTTTAAAGAATAAATAATTAATATTGAAGCCCAAATATGAAAAAAACAATCTCTTAATATGCTAGAGTAACAAATAAAAGTTAACATATAATATTGTGTGCATTAATAAACAAGACTTAATTTTCTCTTTCTTTGTTATACGTAATTATTTTAAGATTTTGTTTGTCGACTCAAACTAATGGTGGGCCCAATGCATTGTGTGTTTTTTTAAATTAACTTTAAATTAAAGAGTAGTTTAGTTATTTAAGACTTTACTTTATAGGAGTAATTAAATGCTTAAATTATCTTGTACACAATATTATATTGCGTGTACCTTTTCCTTCGTGGACAAAAATGATACTAGTTCTGTTGAAGTATGCAGCAAATGTAGCAAGAATGTACCTGGTTCATAAAGAAGTCTTGATTCATTGAAGAGTTAGTTACAAACTAATTGCACCACGGTTATATTGAGTGTATTTCATTGTGCGCAGTCTAAGTTAGGAAGATATTTTTTAGTAGAATTGAAAGATGAGAGATGCTATAAATAAGTGATTGATTGTATAGATCTCAGTTGAGATGATTCTTCCTAAATAAAATCTATCTTTTTTCTCTCTAAATTTTATCTTGCTAAAAGGCCGTTGATGCCTTTTCTGAGTTCCTTAGCTTAGTTTTCACATTGTATCAAAGCCAGCGAGAGTAGACTTCCACAACGACTTTAATTAATTGGTTGCTAGAGCTCGACAATGGCAGCTCTTAAGATCGATCAAATTAAAACGATCCTTTTTACATTGGTCCATCAGGCGCAACTTTAATCTCAATCAGGTTGATTGGATCTGAATATGATGTTGTAGTGCCAGCACCAAGCCGTGCTTGCCCTGAGTTGAAGGAATATGTAGATCATTTTTATCATATGAGATTAATTAATTCAGTTTTTGAGTGGTTTAACTGACTCGATCTTATATATGATCAAGCTCATAGAGAAATTCTTTTGAAAGGTGCTACTCCTTCCTTAAACCAAGTCTATGCTATGATAATTGAGGATGAAATCCAACACTTAGCTCCCCTCAAAACCTGATATCGTACCCTTTTTGAACGATTTCATTCTATTGTTGCTTGTGCCTTGGCAGGTGATATGAGAGAGAGGCTGTGAGTGCATTCTCTCCTTCTCCATCTTCTGGAAAGCACTCTTTATGGTCAATGTTATTGACAAATCTAATCCAATTGCCATGCACATTAATAAACCTCAAAGTTATAATCATGGAAACACCAACTACAAAGAGAGAAGGTGTGACTATTGTCATTTTACTGGAATAATATGAGGAAATAGGTTATAACACTAGTACTTGAAGGGGGTCATCTGAACGGTACAATCAAGGATATGAATCTCCTGGTGGATTTGGAGGGTACAATCAAATATAAAATAATAATAATAATAATTAACGTAAAATAAGTAAAAAATATTATATAAAAATACAATAATTAATAATTAAAAATATCAAGAAAAACATATAATTACTTTTTTTATGCTAAAAAATTCATCCATGCTGTCTAAATTGGACAAAGGGTGTAAGAGTATATATTATCTGAAAATTACATAAAAAGTATTATAAATCACTATAATTAACTTAAATATCTAAAACCTTTCACAAATTTTGATTGAATATCGAAATTTCATATATATTACATAAAATCAGAACAAAAAAATTAATATATATATTATCTTAAAATTACGTAAAAGATATTATAGATCACAATAATTAACAACTTAAAAATCTAAAAACCTTATAAGAAATTTGGCTAACTCTCTAAATAGGGACAAAAATGGAGTAAAACATTATGTGGAAACTACGTAAGAAATTACAATAATTAAAAACTTAAAATATCTTTAAAAAAACATATAATATATTTGATTAATTTTTTCAAATTTTATTTGTGTCACATAAATTTGATCAAAGTAATAACATATATATTATGTGAAAATTATATAAAACATACTATAATAATAATTAAAAACTTAAAATATATAAAAAATTTAATTGACTCAAAATTTTATCTGTTTCACATAAATTAAAACAAAAAGAGTAATCAACAAAAGTAAAAAAAAAAAAAAAAAAGTAGCGAAAGAAAGAAGAAAAAAAGAAGAGTAGAGGAGCAAAAACGATAGGGGCCCAAGCCCATGAGTCCTAATCCATATTAATCCCTCTTTACCCATTGGTAAGAGTTGGGCCCAAGCCCAATTACAAAATCACCCAAATATCTCAAGCGCTTCTTCTTCTCTTCGCCTCATCTGCAGCTAACGCAGACAGAATTGAAGTTTCTCTGCGCCTCATCTAATTTTTCGACAGCAAAGTTTATAGGTAAGTCTGTTAGGTTATTTTTGAACAAATTCCAAGTAATAATCTTGTTTTACAGGTTATATAATCTTCCTCTATCTCACAAAGTTTGATTATTATGCACAAAAAATTGTAATTTATGAACGAAAAATGTCATGATTTATTTAGTAGTTTCATGTTTACTTGTATTGTAGGTTATTTTAGAGTTTGAAAAATTATTTTTTTAGTTAAGCTCGTGTCAACAAAAACTAATTTTTTTAGTGTGTTAATATGCCATATTGTAATTACTATAGCAAAACTTTTCATTTGGGCATTCACCAAAAGAAAAATAATTATCCCTCTGTTTCAATATTTGTTTGTGTGTTTTTAATTTGACATGGAGTCTGAGAAATTGGAACTTTGCGGAAAGGTGGGAACTTTGAATTAAACGAACGGGTTAAAGGCAAGACAAACAAATTGAAAGGAAGAGAGTATGAAAAACAACCATGGAACTGGAATTGCTTGTGGATCTGTTTTTTTTTTTTTTCATAATTGCTAGTGGTGCTTAGTGCAATAGCATATATATTGGTGATTTTGTATCAGATGTATAATTGACAATCTTTTTGCTTCCCTGAAGTACTGAGCTACTTCTACGTGTGACAAGAATGGTGCGTGCGTACAAAGTAAAAGGGGAGAAGAGAAAAAAGAAAGGAGAGAATTATGATAAAGAAGAAGAAATTGAGGTACCTTTGGAAGAGGAGGAATCAACGAAAAGAGTGAAGACAGAACACACTGTGGCAGACACGGAGGCAGCTGAAAGAGTTGTAGATTTACTATCTGGCATTCCTGTTGTTGCAGCTGATCAAACCAATAAAGCTGGTGTAATTTTCATCATTGAAAGAGCTTCTCTTGAAATTGCTAAAATTGGAAAGGTCTGTCTCTATCTTTGCAAGTGTCATTTTTGTTCCTCTACTTTTATTATGGTTTTGATTACAAAGCTTTTGAGAATGTCTACTTTAGAAGAAGATTGTAGCTTTATCAGTATTATATGATGTTATCCAACACCCCACTAGCTCATCTTATTATTATCTTTAGCATCACATATAATGCTCATCCTTCCCTTCACCATGTATAAAAGAAGTTGAAGTTATTATGTGTAATGATCTCTTCTTCTTGTCGATGCAGACGTACCAACTTCTGAATTCTGATGAACACTCTAACTTTCTGAAGAAGAATGGTCGGAACCCTTCTGATTATCGGCCTGATATTGCGCATCAGGTTAGTTGACTTTGGAACTCCTGCCCTATCTTGTTGCCCAATATTCCTATAGTATGAACACAATGGTGTTCCTGTAGACTCCAGATTTAAGTGTTTGTCGTTTGAGACACTATCTGCATGCATGTGGGCCATAGATCAATAGTAACCAGCAAGAAGTTGATGGTTCAAACTTCTGTCAACTTTTTGTGGAGATGGGTGGTGGAATGTCCTGGTCAGGTATTGAGTCCTGCAAGTGAAAGTATGTCAAATAATGACAAGGAGAGGGATATCTGGTAGTTGGCCACGAAATCGGCAAGTAGTCATTTTAATAGCTCTTTGATAATATATTTATTAGTGATTATTCATTGATTTCTCTAGTGGAGCTTTCTGTTTCTCTAAGGTACAATATGAGTTTGGTTTGGACAAGAAAGAGAAAAGAGAATATGAAATTAGGAATGAGCTCACCCTAGTCTGTTCAGTCCATATATTCCCTTACCCTTTCCTAGATTTTGTTTCAGTTGAATACATGAATAGGATGCAAAGCAGCTTCTTCTCATAAATAATAGTAAAAACTTCTAGATACAAGATGTGTACAACAATTTTAGAGTTCTTTCAAACATGTTATTTGCGCACTCATCTATACAAGTGGGGACATCATATGTGTACTTCAAAGGTAAATGAGAAATACCAAAATCAGTTTCATTTGCACTATGGATCTCTTTGCCTAACAAAAGTCTCTAGTATCTCTCCTCTGGCATTTTTATTTATAAGAATGGAATCTCAACATAGTTGTGCAAAATTTTATCCATTTATCCTCTTCTACAAAATACCATCTTCCCAATCATCATCGTCATATGCCTTATCTAGTTTCTCTCCTCTGTCATTTTTGTTTATAAGAAAGGAATCTCAACATAGTTGTGCTAAATTTTATCCATTTATCCTCTTCTGCCAAATGCCATCTTCCCAATCATCATGGTCATATGCCTTTAGGCATAATCTTGCTTATTCACTCTAGAGTCCACGTATTCAATTCTACCATCCACTTTGCAATCAAGGCAGCATCTAATTTATGCCGTCCATCTATAATAGTTGTTTTGTCCCAAGAGATAAAACGAAAATTCTACTGAAAGTCTAGAGAACATAACAAAATTAGGACTATGGATAAGTGGGCTAAGCTTGTTTTATTGCTTAGTTACCCAACTGACACTTAAAGTTTAAGTTTCTGCCACTGTCAAAAGGAGAATAAAACAAATAGGAAATCAGATGCCTTCTCAACCGACCACCTCTGGTTCTGCGCAACTCAGGCTCACTCTCTATGCTGCATTGTTTGATTTATACATTTGACGATATCAACTGTGGCTTGATGCCTCTATGTCAGCTTCTTTATTTCTCTCAAAAGCTTCTCAATACCTTACATGAGAGATGCAGATATGGATTGATTAGGCTGTGGTTTCCCTTCCACATTTTTGCTCAGAGTTAATTCTGTAGAGTCAGTTCATCAACTTGATCTTGCTTCTATTATACTTATTTCCGGTTCAGATTCTGAGTGTGTATTGGAACTGGGGAGCATAGATGGAATTGCAGTGCCGAGCTGGGCTTCTTCTTTAGTATATAATTTCTTATTGAAATAGAAAGAGAAAAAACTATAAGCAGCAGTTGTTAAAAGTTTAATAGATTAGGAGAACACGAGATTTTCCTTCCTTACTGTTAGATCTTCTTCTAGTGGGAGGGAGAAAGCAGGAAGATTAGATGTTACTATATTTGCTTGATTGCACCTTGGGGCTTTTAGGATGTGAACATTTTAATTGATGTCCAAGGCACCCCTGTGAAAGTCCTTACTTGCCCTATTACCCTCCTTTTGGGACAAGAATTACTGCTTCCATCCATTTTCAGTACAGTATGTAAGTGAAATAAGTTCTAATTCCTTGCAAAGCTAATGAAAAAAAGGAATTGTGTTGCATGTTGACCAACTCCATTTGCATTTAATTATCGCACAAAGTTCACGATTGCTTTATGAGGTGGTGCAATTAGTTAAAAATCCTCATTCGCCTTTTTCCTAAAATGTTTATGTGAGTTCTTCTTTCCTTTCACAGGCAATGCTTTCAATTTTAGATAGCCGAGTAAATAAAGCTGGGCGACTGAAAGCTTTGTATGTGAGGACTGAGAAAGGTGTCCTTTTTGAAGTAAAACCTCATGTTCGTATCCCTAGGACATTTAAGAGATTTGCTGGCATCATGTGTAAGTTAATTTACCTTGAGCAAAATTTCTTCACTCATCCCTTTTCATGCCTTTATTCCTATATGTGATCTGTCTAATTTTTCTGTTTTCTGATGTTGCTTCAATTTCAGTGCAGCTGCTACAAAAGCTGAGCATAACTGCTGTTGGTAAGCGAGAGAAACTGTTGCGTGTTATAAAAAACCCTGTTACACAGTACCTACCCATCGACTGTCGGAAGATAGGTGAATAGTTTTTCTGTTTTAGTCCCTTCCTTCTCTAATGGAATGTTCTTGACAATTGACTAATACCCCACTTCGCTTATGCATCAGGCTTCTCTCATAGTTCTGAGAAGCTGGTGGATATTCAGGACTATGTTAATGGCGTCAACAATGACACGAACCTTGTTTTTGTGGTATGTTCTAGTGTAATTTTCTATAGACAACTACATTTTGTGTGAAGTTATAGTTTACTTGATATTTGACATATGCAGGTTGGGGCTATGGCCCATGGGAAAATTGATAAAGATTATGTTGAAGATTATTTGTCGAGTAAGCTAATTCTTCCAATTAGAGTGCTGTCATTTGATTCTTCTGACTTTTTCTTGATTTGCATGGCTAGTAATTAACGTAGGAATGCGAACATCTATTACTTGTGCCTGTATGCTCAATTGATAACACTAGGGTAAGATTAATCTTCCTGTAGATTAAAAGGACTTCTCGAGAGTCACTTATGACTTTGGCAAATGAGAATTATAGGTTGCGACCGCTGTAGAATGTAGATATGGTTGGAATGTTGAACATAATCTTTGATTTTTGATCATGTTATTCTAGTATATGCCATACTCATACAAAACTAGTAAAGGGGGAGATTGTTCTCTCCCTATGAGTTGTTTGGTTCAGTGTCAGCCTGTCAAACTCTGAAAGCAAATATATGCGGGCTCTCAACTGCATCTTAACCTACTTGATGCTTTTAAAACATCCTCTGGAAATGAAAACTCGTCTTGGTATACTGATAAGTTTGATAAGTTATTGGCGCCATGCATGTATATTCTATGTAAATGCTCAACTAGGTCCACACTGCTTTCACTACTTGAAAAATCGTCTTGGCAAATTATTGCATTATTTCTGCAGCTGAACCTAGTCTAATCATCTAATGTATCTTGCAGTTTCAGATTATCCGTTGAGTGCTGCATACTGCATATCAATGATCACGAATGCCATGGAGCGCAAATGGAAGATTTTGTAGACTGACCTTACCTATATTCTCCGAAGACATACTTTCTAGAATGTTGTCCTTGCTAGTTTTCTTTCTATAGGCCATTCTGGTTGGTTAAGTTGTGTAAAATATTTTTAAAAGGGCGAATGGCCCTCTTCTACATTTTGGAGTGCCCTTTTTGCTTGTTCACAATGAATCTGAAACAATTTTGAGCCTGTGACTGACTTATTCATAGAAATTTCAGTTTAAAAAATTTTGATTATTGAAATATCCCGTCGCCGGGGTGAGTGCAGAGGCCAACACTGACCATTATGAAGTCTTCTCTTATGGCTGCTGCAGTAAATATGAATTGTCAACAATGTTGGTTCTGCTTTGTTTTCAAATCCAAAAAGCTCTTCCTACTTAGAGTAGGAAGTTGCCATTGGACTGTCTATTGCTTCATCAAATTATTGCAACAGAAATTTTTGACTATATAGGCCCCTCAAGATGGAACTAGCTTTATAGTTGAGAGAGAGTTAAGAGTTGAAGATCAATTTGGTCCATTTTGCAGTTAGTGGAATTAGGTATGTAAGTACACTATGAGACCTTAATGCTGGTAAAACAGTGATGACATGAGATTTGATACTCAAAATGTGTATACCTAGGCACTTTTTAAAGTATAACATGTTTTTTATAGCCTTCATTACACAAGCATACATAATAGTACAAATGGAGTTTACAAAATTTAACATCAATCTGGAATTTGGAACCAAGAGCTAGTTTTTCTGCAATGGTGTGCAGAGAAACTGGATGACACAGCCAATCTCCAGCACAGGTTATGGCATTTCAACATCAATGTATGTATGTACTCTTCATTTTTTCCTTTCTATGAGACATGAGTTATCTCTGCTTGTTGTTGTGTCAATCAAAGACCTGTAAGTAGGTCAGGGTTCGCGGGAGGCTTTTCCTCTGGAATGTCAACGCTAGCAACAATGTTGGCTGTCTGATTAGAGGACAACGGCTCTACTTGAGACATTTTTCTTCTTGATCCGAGACCACCTTTTGTACTCGGGGAAGTTTCAGGTGATTCCCCTGGACTCCCTAATTTTCGTGTTTCTATTGGTCCAGGCTTTGTAGGTCTCCTCTTTTTTGCATTCTTATGCCAATTCATTAGTGCCTTGGAAGTTTGATCATCAAATATTGATCTCTTCATGGTTGATCCCATCTAGAATGTCCAAATGAATGAAAACAAATCAGTTCACCATGTTTTGTACTTCTAGCATGGGATGTATCTACTCATTGAACATCCAAATGGTTAGCCTCCATGAACGTCAAATCACGAGTTAATTTCATGTATGATCACAGAGTTATCTAGTAGTAGTAAATCCATGAAACTAGTTTTGTTAGCTAATCATAATGAATCTGCAACATAAGGGAAAAAGAGTTACCTGGGTAACAAGTGCATACAGTGGAAGTGTAATGTAGCTGCACAAAATCTGAACACCTAACCTGACAAAGCATCCTTTTCATCAGATAAATTGAGAGTATTGTTATGACACTTGAAAAACTTAACACACTGAAGATAAGTATTTGTTCAATTACCCGATAGCAACTCTCAATAAGGCGAGGTAAAAATTATCGTGAAAACAGGAATGGAGCCCAAATTCATACTGCAGAGCATGGTATGCCATTATGTTAAACGAAGTAGTAGATATGAAGGAATTGAAAAGAAAGATTGAAAAAGTTTACTTACTGTTATCCAAAGGAAATAAGTTATCTCGAAAGCATTCTGCATCACATAAAGGAAACGATTAAGCTTAATATTTGCTTCCAAGTTCAAACAAGTTCCACATTGATTGTCTCCTCTATACCTTTGTGTTTACCCAGATTATATACAACCTTACTTATATCACTCATTATTATTTTTCTAAGATGCACATACAGGGGACGTGTGTGAGAGTCTAAGAGGCGGAGAAAGCAAGAAATGAGTACCTGAAAGAGGGTGAGATGGACAAGATGAAGAATTAGAGTGGGCTTTCCAAACCAAAAATTTCTATCTGAAACTTGAACAAGAGGTATGCCTTGGACTACAGCATGTCTTTCTTGAATTTCAAGAGCCATCTGAGCTATAATTGCTTGAAGTTTTGTGCCAACTGCTAAGATTATCTTTAACCAATCCAGTGGTTAGTTCTTTCTTCAAAACTTTAACGAAATGGAAAACAAGTAAATGAAATTCTTACAACTAAAGGCAGTATGGACAGCCAAAACATAGCTTGCCATCCTGAAAGGACAGTATTTGTATTGGTAGTTAGAGCTAGTTTTTTTTTACAATTAGAGATAATATGTATCAAGGTCGTTAACATTACCGTGGACATTCAACAGAAGATAAACAACTGCAGAAAACCATAGCAATGAACTGCAAATGTATAACAACGACGATAAATAATTAGATACCTCTAGCTAGTACAAAGTAGCACATGATCAAAACCTGAGAAGATTGAGTAATTTGTTTCAGTTTTAGTCGAAAGACACGTACTTGATTCCCACAATAACCTTGAAATCATCTTCCAAGGATCTTTTTATGTACTTTTGAAAATTAAACTTACTTCCAGGTGCTAAATGGACCTGCAACAAGAGGAAAACAATAAAACTAGATATATTTTTCTGTCCTATAAAAGACATAATTTGATTTGAAACCTTCAATTTGTGAACCTCACCGTGATGAAACCGTGGCGCATGGTCAAGTAGTCAGCTTTCCTAACTGACCTGAAAAATTGCCTAAAAAAGCACACCTGCAAATTTTGGGGAACTAGTTAGAAAAGAAGAAACAACAATGGTTGTAATACAACATTTCACTTGTTACATTCCATGTTATATTACTATATCACCAACTAATTCCCCCCTAATTTCTGGGGTCTATCGGAAACAACCTCTCTAGTCTCTAACTCACAAAAGTTAAGGTCAAATTTTCCTTAGGAGATGGCATTCTTTTAACTAGAACACACAAATGTGATTTCCATGCTTATGGCGAGGATGGCTAGAAGAATGTGAAAATCATATCAAATTCGTTATAGAACGAAACTCATTGAAGCTTTAAATTGAAAAACAACAGGCTCTTAATATCACAGGCAAACCTATCAAAGACCCCATTCTTCCCAAAATATTGAAAAATATGCAAATAAAAGCAGAAGGCAGATGCTTTAATTTTTTCTTACACTGTAGAAAATGATTGGGGTGGTTCCAAAACTCGTATTATCCCTAACAAAAGATGTCTCCTTGGTAAGCCTGAATCTTGAGGCATCTGCATAGAAATGTCATATAAGAAATATAGATTAAATCCCTCTTGGTTAAATGTGAAACGTAAAAGATATTGTATAAACATGAAAACTAATTCTTAATCACTTTTGCCTGAGTGCTTGGTCTTCACAAAATTTAACAATAGTAGAGGATAACTATATGAACTTCACCATATCGTAAGACAAGAGCAGAAGAGTCACATGGATAGAACCAAACATGCACCTAATAATTACGAAATTTCAAGAATAATTTTTCTCAACTCTCCCTTTAATCTTGAAGTTTCTTTTCAACTACAAGTCCTTGATCTCAATTTTTCGAAAATCTTCAACTTTATCAAGAAAATCATACATCAGATTTATCTCCATATTTCTATGCAGCCTTCAACTTGACAACTTCTAAAGTTGAATTTTCAAGTTCTTGCTTGATGCTACTATCAAAATACCATAGACTAAAAGTATCCTTATCGTCCTCCTTTGGTGTTAGCAACAAAATTGTCTCTCTTCAATATTACTATGACACTCTCATGAGTAATAAACAAATTTATGAAAATTATAGCATTCATATTGATATTTGTCACCTATTTTTATTTGCTTCTTGCTAGTTGTTAGAGTGGGTTGGAATCCCCCATTGGTTGGGGATGAACTGATGGTCCGCGTATATGGACTTTGGCAACCCTCCCCTCATGATCTAGTTTTGGGGTTGAGTTAAGCCCAGATACTGTATCTTTACATGGTATGAGAGCCAGGTCCATCCTCGTTTGGACTCTTGGTCCACACTCCAGTTGAGCCTGGGAATGATGGAGTGTTAGAGTGGGTTAGAGTACACATTGATTGGGGAATGAACTGATGGTCTGATTAAATGGACTTGATAAATTCTCCCCCTATGATCTAACTTTTGATTCGAGTGGTGTCATATTTTTACACTAGTAACTATGACTGCTTCCTCTTCCAGTTATGACCATGACTTTTTGATGATTATTGGTTTTTCTCTTCATTGTTGGATTGTTACAATTACATCTTCCTCTTCCTCATCCACATCTTCTGTGGATCTTTTCACCTCATTCATCCTTCGAAGTTGCTCTTCTCAAGGAACGAAGGATCTTCATGAACGACTTCTACTTTATCTGAACCATATCTCTTCAATTTATTCACAAGGCCTTCACCCTTGAACAATAATCCAAATTTCATTTGAGTTCTCTCATTTTCAAAGCTCCAAAATACCTACCCCTTGAGAATTGAAACCTTACCTTCTTGACCTTGTCTACTAATTAGAGAGAATTTTGCAAAACCTCCCAAGCTTCGTTTGAGGTGGTTGCAGTGGCCACCTTCTCAAACATAGTATCATCCAAATCTTGATGGATGAGAGTGAGGCTCGTTGTTTCTTTTTCCTTTTCTTTGCCAAAATATCCTTCTCATATCGGATTTCTGTAATCCCTGTTCCACTATTGCCCACACAGCCAAGTATTACTTTCATGCAAAGACACTAATGTTCTTTTGACACCACGAAATTAGAAACCAAGTGGTCCATCTCCCTATATTTTCAGCACTCTTTGCAACTCGATTGCCAAATGACAAGTTCAAAGGAGTATTTATAGGTTCATAGGTGCCGACAAATTCTTCTCAACTCACTGATCGCATTCAAAACACGAAATTCACACACTTAAATCACATAGATATCCTAAAAGTCAGACCAAAGTCCAAACATGCTTCTATAGTATTTCAAGATTAGGCTTTCCTGACAATAAATTACCTCATTAACTCTCTCGTGCCTGCGTAAAATTAGGCCAAAGACAAAGCAAAATGAATTAAATCATGAAGATTTCACACCATACCATTGGATGCTTCATACTCATGCTCAACTTGCCTTTCCCATTCCTTCCACTCACGAATCTGCATATTTGAAATAGAATGATCATTTCTTGCCTCTAAAGTAATGCTCAAGTATTTAGTACAAGCGCATAAGTACTGGAATTAATATTTCAAGGGTGTCCACGGTTAACTTTTGTGCTTGTCACACTGAAAATGCCGAAAAAATCTCACCTTTAATCTTCCGAGCAGCATTGTTATGGCACTGTAAATAACGTGGAAGACGGCTAAAAAGAATATGAAAATGTGCAGCTGATGCAAACCATGGGTGGATATAAGTGGAACTTGTCCCTGTCAATGTGGTTACTGTTAGCCTGTAAATCTTCGAGTAACATTTATTCAAGAAATCTAAACAAAACGAATAACGAGTTCAAAATATAAGTCTAGAACCTTCTTGAACTAAATCAAAATAAATATTGTGACCAATAAGTCAAGCTTTATAGAAGCAGAAAACGGGGTTCAAACGCCAACTAAGTAAGGCTTGTCATACATAATACACAATCAGGTCACCTAAAAGATAGCTATAGGTAACAAACTTTTTTTTTTTGATAATTGTGGTATCTGGGCCAGCTTGTGCTCACCTCGACTAATTCGACGGTATACCTGCCACTTCCCACCAACAACATGTACCAAGTAATTCTGTCCACCAAGGCTAAGACAGATGGGAAGAATCACCTAGTGTTTTACAACATGTTAAAGTAAATACTAATGTATATAGACTACAGCTACGCTTCAATCCCAAGTCAAGCTGGGGTCGATTATATGAATCCTCAAAAAGGTACTCACCGGCCTGCAGGTTTCTGCAGGACTATCAGCTGCTAATATCCTATGGTCTGATAGAAGCCTTCGATGAGCTTCTCCGGTACCAGGTGGTTGATGATGACCTTGTCCAGGTGCATGATGTCCTCCTCCATATCCCAAACGTGCGTGTTGTTGGGCAGGGCATGGCAACATTGTGTCTGCAACCCTTTCAGGTATGCATATTCGCGATATGTAATTTTGTCCGAACGTCAGAAGCAACGATATAAAACCAAGAACCATAAGCTCTACAAACAAAAAATAATCCATTGTCAAGGAAGGAAATCACTAATTAACTAAACCCCCAAATTCAATAATTATTACAAAAGCCCTTAATTTACCAGCCTTAATCTTCTCCAATGCTTCCACCAATGCACTTTTTCGTCTCCTCTCAAATGTCTGTATCCACAAGAACGTAACCAATTAATTTTCACCAAGACATTCATCATCTACTGTATATACATAATTATTTTATTTTTCTAGTTATCATTTTCCCACGAAACGAATTCAAATGAACCCCTTCCACCCTTCTAGCTCTCTGCCCCTGGCTAGAGGTCATGGTGTAATTTGAACACGTCATTTTACGTGTCCAAATCTTCAGTAATCCAATTCAAAATTATTGGCTTGATTAATTCAAATTCGCGCCCTCCTTTCAACAACATCTCCTAGGACCACAACATTTTAAAAAAAAAAACTTGTTACCTAAATAAAAATTACCTGTCCAACTTTATGAAGAACCTTTTCCAATAAAATGGAAATAAGAACAATAACAGCACAAACCAAAGCCACAGCCCATGTAGGTGTTTGATCTAATTCCCTTGAACTTGCATCTCCTCCAGCCATTTTTTCTTCGTATTATTATTACAATTTATTTTATAAAAAATTCCGCTATTTACACAACTTTATGAATAGATCTCATGGGAAAAAGCTCTAAAAAGTTTGTTAATGGAAGCCAAAAAAATCCAGTTACATTTGTTGAGCCTAGTAACATGGACCGGTTCAGTGAGGAAAAAGGAAAAAAAAGAAAAGAAATAACAGAACTGAACCGGGTGAATTTGGGAAATAGACAAATGTGGGGAATATTGTATTGGTAGTTGGAATTGGGAGGATGGTTTAATTGTACATGTTAACCAGAGTATTAATAGGGATTTTGTTAGATTATGAAGCCATAATAATACCAAGTGTCTTAGAAAATTGAAGTAATTTATCGAGGACGATTATTTTAAAAAATTGTATCATATCAAGTTTCTGATTACTCTATGATGTATAATTAAAATTAATTAGACTTTTCAACATCATTTTGATTGTCTCAATTTCTTTTCGGTTTTATTGATGCGAGACATTCCATTTATCAGGAATAATGTGCTTGTAAGGAAAAAATCGTGTACAATATTGATACTATAAAATTGGATTTAAAATACTTAATGAATCGTCACAAATAACGTGTTATTGGCAAGTTACCGTCTTGAAAGTGATTTCAACCTTATTTCGATGCAAATCATTAAGGTTAATCACTCATCACGACCGGTCAATCTCCTATCATTGCAATCTCGTGCGTGAAGAGTTGCTCATGCTTCCCAAACGTCACACATTTTTTAGGTCATTAGTCAACATCTCCCTAGACAACAACTCTTTCAAACATGTGCACTCGTAACTGAAAGTTTATAATTGCACAAATATAATTGTTCAGAAATTCACATGGAAAGAAATCCAAGAAATGAGAGGGTGTTTTTTAAACAATCCAAACTAAAATCTAAAAGAAGAATAAAACCTTTTATTTATAATATTTTAAAAACTCTATATTCTTTTGCAGTGACTTAGGAATGCATTAATGCATTGAATCTCTTTTCCGTGATATCAAGTTTTTATTTTAATATCTCAAATTTTAATTAATTTGTTTTTTCACAAAATCCTTTTTATAACCACTTAAAAATTACTACTATATGCATGTATTACAAAGTTATAATTAAGATTTCAACTAATTAATTATTTCCTTATATAGTCATGACATTAGGAATAAAGTAAATTTTATTTTCAAATTTATAAGTTTTTAGTCAAATGAAAGTGAACTTTGTGTCATATTCTAAAATTTTGAATTAACATACTTAAAACTTATTATATAATAATAAGCTTTTATAGAAAAAGAACAAATGTATTATATCGCATCAAATGGTTAACATTATATTAACTTATAACAACTTTTCCCAAGTTCTATAATAAAATATTGGCCAATAACTAACTATAAATCATACACGTATCAGTAACTAGTTATACAATAAAAATAGTTTTTGAATGTATTTTAGTCTTGGAGACACATACCAATAACTAGTTATGAAAGTAGTATTTTTGAATGTCTTTTAGTCTTGGAGACACGTACCAGTAACTAGTTATACATTAAATATAGTATTTTTGAATGTCTTTTAGTCTTGGAGACATAAAGAAGATGCTTAGATAATTGAATGATCAACACCTAAATGAGTTTTGTGATACGTATTACAAATTACATCCATTTGAAATAAATGTTTAAAGAAAGATAAAAAGTTTCCTACACAAGATGTTTGACGAGCATTCAAATTTTAAAAAATCATTTAGGTGTTGATTTAATTTGAATGCTCGTCAAACATTTGTGTAGGATTTTATGAGAGATTCAAATTAAAAAACTCATTCATTACACATAAAATCTCTCAACTTAACTACTATTTTCGTTTATGTGACTGAGTTCGGACTATAACATGTAATTTTCCTTTGGTCTTTTGCCATAATATAATTAATGAAAAAATTACTAGAATATTCAATTTAAGACTTTAATTTACATAATATTAATTTACTCTTTTTAGTTATAACATTATCATTTTAATTACAAATATTATACGACTTTTTTACCTATTTTTTTTTAGCTTAGTGGGCTGATTTTATGTGATTCATAATTTGTTGTTTTTACTTTTTTGATTTTCAATTACAACTATAATTGGTAACATTATTTTCCCCCCTTTTTTTTCTCTTCCTTCCTTGATACAATTACACTTCTAAAAATATTTTTTCTCTCTCTTTAATTACGTTTTTTTTTTTTACTTTTAGAATTATATAATGATAAAAAATATATGATATAGAATGGTATAAACCTCTTGTTTTTCTTGATATTATTTAAGTGCAAAATTGGTCTATATAGTGGCAAAATTCTGTTAGGGGTTAAGCCGAATCCCCTTCGACAGAGGTTAAAATCATTTTTTATGTGTATATATAGTAGATGTCGAACCCCCCATTGATTAGTTCATGTGTTTAGTTCTTCATATTTTGAACCCCTTATTAAAAATTCTACCTCCGTCACTATATATATAGATTTAGAACCTCGTAGACATAAGGTAAGAGTTTGGCTTAGAGCTCGTTTGGATTGACTTTAACTTTTGATTTATGAGCCAAAAATCACAAGTTAAAATTTTAACTTATGTCTTTTGGCTTATTTTATCATTTAGCTTAAAATTAAGTGCTTAAAAGTATTTTTAAAATTTATCTAAACACTTCAAAAGTGCTTAAAAAACTATTTTGACTTAGAAACACTTCAAATCAGCCAAAATTAATACTCATGAATTATCACTTTATGCACCACAAGAATCAGGCAGGCAACACAATCAGCATTTTCATCAACCACACATGAACTGTTAAATTAAGGGTGTGTTTGGTATGAAGGAAAATGTTTTCCATGGAAAATGTTTTCCTGGAAAACAAGTTGATTTTTGACTTATTTTCTCATGTTTGGTTGGTGAGTAGAAAATATTTTCCGGAAAAGATTTTTAGTGTTTGATTTATGAATGAAAAATATTTTTGAGAAATATCTTTTATTTTTACTAGAGTAGAAAATAATTTTTGAAATTGAAAATATTTTTTAAAAACAAACTTAAATTTTTTTTGGGGTTGGGGGGGGGGGGTTGGTAAGGTGTGGGTGAGGGGGGGGGGGGGGGTCGAGGGTAGGAGTGAAAAATTGAAATTTTGAAGTTGAAAATATTTTTTAAAAACAAACTTAAATTTTTTTTTGTTTGGTGGGGGCTGGTAGGGGTGGGGGATGGGTGGGTGGGTCGAGGGTTGGGATGAAAAAATAAAATTTTGAAGTTGAAAATATTTTTTAAAAACAAACCTAAATTATTATTTTTGGGGGGGGGGGGGTTGCTGGTAGGGGGTGGGGGGGTCGAGGGTAGGGGTTAAAAAATGAAATTTTGAAATTGAAAATATTTTTTAAAAACAAACTTAGAATTATTTGGGGCGGTGTGGGGGGCTGGGTGGGTGGGGGGTCGAGGGAAGGGGTGAAAAAATGAAATTTTGAAATTGAAAATATTTTTTAAAAACAAACTTAATTTTTTTTTTTTGGGGGGGGGGGGGGGGGTCAAGGGTAGAGTGAAAAAATGAAATTTTGAAGTTGAAAATATTTTTTAAAAACAAACTTTAAAATTATTATTTTTGGGGTGGGGGGTAGGGGTAGGGGTAGGGGGTGGGGGGGTCGAGGGTAGGGTGAAGAAAATGAAATTTTGAAGTTGAAAATATTTTTTAAAAACAAACTTAATTTTTTTTGGGGGTAGGGGTGGCAGTAGGGGGTGGGTGGGTGGGTTGGGGGGGGGTCGAGTGTAGGGGTGAAAAATAAAATTTTGAAGTTGAAAATATTTTTTAAAAACAAACTCAATTTTTTTTGCGGTGGGGGGTGGGGGTGGGTTTCGAGGATCGGGATGAAAGAATAAAAATTTGAAGTTGAAAATATTTTTTAAAAACAAACTTAATTTTTTTTTCTTTTTGAAGGGGGTTGGGGGGTTGATAGGGGGGTTGATGGGGGGGGAGGGCAAGGGTAGTGGGTGGGGGGAAAAAAAATAAAAAATTGAAATTAGAAATATCTTTTAAAAATAATTTTTAATATTTTTTTGGGAGGGGGTGGGGGTAGGGGTGAGGGTGGGGTAAAAAAAATGAATTTAAAAACAAGCTTTAATTTATTTTTTTTTAGGGGGTGGTTGGGGGGCTGGTTTGAGGGTAGGGACAAAATAAATTGATTTTTTCAACAAAAATGTAATTGTAATTTGAAGTTGGAAGAGAGTTTTGGAAAATGTTTTTATTAAGTTTTGAAGGGAAGTCATTTTCCTTAAATTTGAGGAAAATGAATTGATTTGGAAAACATTTTTCAAACATTTAACCCTACCAAACATGAGAAAATTGGAACTCAATAATTCATAAAAAACACACCCTAAGTTTCAGCCTAATTCACCGTCAAAAATTAATTCAAAGAAAGGAGGATTGCCAAAGTCTTATAAAAAACTCAATAATTCATTCACAAATGTAGAACTTTCCATTCATGTGGAATAATATGCAACTATTATGAAAAATACCATAATATTGCTACTGAATTTGAATTAAAATTAGACAGTGAATCGTCACAAACACTCTATTATAAAAAATTATTGTATTAAAAGCGATTTCGACCTCATTATAATGCAAGTCACTGAGGTTGGTCACTTTCGTATCACAACATTTTCAAACACACGCATTTGTGACTGAAAGTTCTTGGCAATAATGCCTCACAAATTCAAATCCAAATAATAGGAAATAATTTCTTGGCAAAAAAAAAAAAAAGAAGAAGGAAAAACATGTACTTAAATATTAGTATCCTTCGATTTAAATAAACATGTAGTGAAATGAGACAATAACAAATATCCCTAAAGTGAAAAACTCTTAAACTAAAGATAACAATAAATTAAATTCAAGTATTTTTTTCTTCAAAATTCACTCCTTTATCCCCTTTCTAGATGCAAAGCTATAAAGTTATTCTTCTAAAGATTACTTCATTCAATATTTATTTTCATAGACAAGTAAAATTAAATGATTTAGAACAATTGAGTTTAATATATATATAACCTATGGGGTAGGTATATGTACTAATTAACTAGAGATAAAAACTTAACCTATTTTTTTTCCACTCATTTGAATAATTCAAACTAAAATCTAAACAAAAGAAGAATAAAACCTTATATTTATGATAATTTGTAGACTCTATATTATATACAATAAAATATCATTTTAAAGTTTTTTTAATACAAAAAAAATATAATCTTC